TTAACCTAATTGAGTTGGGAGAGGCAGTTCAGGGGGGAAAGTTGTGCCAGATAAAAGAAATTAGAAAATCTTTATTTGATTTATTTAAGTTGTAATTCCTTAAAAATCTTTAATTCTGAATTTTTCATCAATTAAGATTAGCCTCCATCCCCTACTCCAATGTACCCAAGTCCAATTTAACTCAATTCAATTCAACTCAAAAGTATAGTGTAGTGCAGAAATTCTTAATTTTTTGTGATATGGACTCTTTTGGCAGGCTGGTGAAGTCTATTCTCAAAATAATGTTTTTAAACAAATACAATAAAATACACAGGATTGCAAAGAAAACCAATTATATTGAACTGTAGTCATCAAAAACAAAAACAATTCCACAGACCCTATGTTAAGCAACCCTGATAATGGAAATAGCAAGGTACTTCTCAGAAGACCTGAGTCTTTGTTTGAATTTGAACTTTTCAATTTAAGAGCTTTGGGCCCATGGAAAAGTCATGTAGCATTTTTGTCCCTCAATTTCCCTATCTGTAAAAAGAGGAAGGTTGGTCTTACCTAGCTCTTAATGTGTTGTGATTCTGTCTTTGTGTTTGATTATTTGATCCACTGAAGTCAGTTCAGCTTATTCTAATTTAAGTAAGAAATATTCATGAAGCATCAAATGCTATAAACTGTTTGAAGAACTAATGGAGATACAGAGATGAATACCATATTTACTCAGCCCTCAGAAAACTTATGATCTATTAGGGAAAATAAGTCATGAACATATAACTAGAACACAAAAATCTTAAGGTTGGCCTCTTCCAGGGACAGTTGATAAGCCGCAAAGGGTCAGCAAAGCCCCCAACCCCCAAACACACTATAACATCAGAAAGGGAAGTTAATAGCAAAAAGACTCTCAGGGTTATCCTGGCAGTTCAGAATTGTGATTTCCCCCCATTTTTTTTGGTCTGTTTTTGGCAAACACTGCCAGGCTTGGCTGGCTTTCTTGGAGGATCCATCTTCCTTGTCCTCACTCCCTCATTACTTCCAGAAAATTCAGAAAACACAAATACAAACAAATCAGGGGATTGGCGATGTTGTATGACATATTCTCTAGAGTGAGGACCCCAAGGGCCTGACTTCATTAACTAATGGTCTGTGGGAAGCTGGAATGGGAATCACAAAACCTGCCAGATTTTAAGGTACTCTCTGAGCTAGAGGCATTGCTTACAGATGATAGAGGGCATTTTCTCCCCTGTTTTTTCCCACTTTCCATGTAAAACTTTATGAAACAAACCACAAATTAGAGCAGTCAAAAATAGAATAGGCTACTCTCTGTAGTAGTGAGTTCTCTAACACTGGAGATATCCAAGTGGAGATTGGATAAACACATGTCAAAGAAACTATAGAATGGATCTCTACTTCAGGTTTAGATTGACCTCTCAGTCTCCCTGAAGATTCTATAATTGTGCGCTTCTTCTATATAAAAATGTCCTTTCCTCCTAAAATGACAGAGTTGGAAGGGACCTTGGAATATAGAACATTAGACTTGTAAGGAACCTTAAAGACCACATCTCTCAAATTTGGACCTTCCTCTCCCCTTAAACAGCCACCCTTAATTCCAGCCCTCACCATGTCACACCTAGATTATTGCAATAACCTCCTCATTGGTCTCTCTACCTCAAGTCTCACACTCCATCCTTCCATTCTACCCATGGTTGCTGAAGTAATTTTCCTTAAACACAGACTGATCATCAACTCCATTGGCTTCCTATTGCATCTAGGATAAAAAGTAAACTGTTCTGTTTTTTTTTGTTGTTGTTGTTTTTTTTTTTGTTTGTTTGTTTAGCTTTTAGTTCCCCTGTTGAACTCTGAGATTCAGTCAAAATGACTCTATTTGTCTCACTTCCCTCTTCTGTAAAATGTGGCTAATACCAGCACCTACCTTCCAGGACTGTTGTATTAAATGAGATATTTGCGAAGTGCTTAGCACAGTGTCTGGCCCATAGTAAGCACTATATAAATGCTATCTATTGTCGTTGTTGTTGTTATTTCTCATATATAATCCTCCAGTTCCCATTTCTGTGCCTTTATCCTGGCTATTCCCCATTTTAGGAACATAATGTATTTGCCCCTTACCATTGTTTCACAGAGACCCTCTTCTTCCTTAAAGGTGCAGCTCAAGCATCACCTTCTGCAGAAAGCTTTTCCTATTGACCCACTGCTAGTGCCCTCCCTCCTAAATTACCTTGCACTTGTATTTATTGACTTTATTGTTGTGCCATGTATTTTTAATGTGTATTTGTTGTCTCTCCCATTTGAATATAAACTCCTTGTGAGTAGGAGTTTTTGTACTTGTGTCCAAAGAGCCTAGCATAGTACCTGATACATAACTGATGCTTAATAAATACTCATTGATTGACTGATTGATTATTTGTCAAATGAAGAGAGTGGACAAGATTATCTCAAAGGTCTCCCTTAGAAGTATGTCTGAAAAAAAAAAGCCACTGGGGTATTTGGTGTGATATAGTACAATGTCCAGACATAAGAAATTGAAAGCACCACTGTGCTCTTCCCCAGTCCAGGCCCATATACAGTTCTATGCTTGGATCTGCCAACCATATTTCAGGAAGGATATTGATAACCTGGATAGAGTCTAGAAGGGGGCAGTTAGGATGGTGAAGGACCTCAATTTCATATCATACTAAGATAGGTTAAAGGAAATGACAATATTTAGCCTGTATATTTGAAGATTTAGGAGGGATATGGCAATTATCTTCAAGTACCTGAAAATAGTTCTCTCTTCCATTTGATGATGGCCTTTCAAATACTTTACAACATTTAGTCCCTAGAAGAAGGTTTAGACATGCTATTACTGCTCAGTTTCCCTCCTTGATATGTAAAGGGCAAGGGATACTACGGGACAGTTGTTCATTGGCACTGAGACTTTCTGGAATCTCTACTTGGAGTGCTATACCTGAGTAATGTCCAGATGCCCCATCTGAGCCCTGAGTTCCAGCTTGAGTAACTGGAAATGAGCAGGACCTGGCTCCTTTGTGTCCTAATTGTCTGTGTGTTTATGAGGAAGGACTTGCTTGGCTCTGATGTCTCTAGGCTTTGCCTTTTAGTTCTTCATCTGTCTTCTGTCTAGGGATCTGAATAACTATACTAACTCCTAAATCTCTTATGACTCTACCCCTATGCAATTGAAAACTTCATTTTCACATGACCCAAAAGGATTATTGGTTCATTTGGAAGTATACTTTAGTAAAGCCAAATTAAAATTAACAAAATAAAGTTATAATAAGCCTCTCCTGGGACAATTTTGAAGTCTTAATGTTTCTATACTTTTTGCTACTTGAAAATGAATTTAAATGTTATCTTTAAACAGTTGAGTGTAGACCCGAAATCTCAACTTTCCCATCTATTCTTCAACAATTCTTTTTCACAAGGGTAACCACTGACCACATTGAGGAGAGATAGTACCTCAAGTATTTTAGTCTTAAAGTTTCCTGCTCATTTTATTTCCCTCCTACCTTTGACTGGACCTGTAGTAACTGTCATTCAAACACCTTCATGGGTCCTTTAGTATCTTTCTAGCCAGTAGCTAGAAGAAGCCCTCCTACTGGGTACCTCAAAGGCTGGCCCCCACAGGGTCTGAGATCAAGTTCAGTCCCAGCATTTCTGCCCTGCTTATCAGATAGCTTCCCTTGAAGTCTTTTGCATAAATCACAGAGACTGACTTTTCAGATGTCTACCTCAGAGTGTGCCATTAGTACAACCTTAAGCACTCTATTTAAATCAATTATCTGGGGCTACTCAGCCCCAAGATGCCAGACTTTGAAATTCTGAAAGTGTTATGGGGAACCACCACAGGCAAACCTTATAGCTGTATTCCATGTTCTGTTTCTGAAGCAGCCCAGAGCTCACCTCCGGCTTAAGGGAAACACTCTTTTGAATACTTTCTGTAGCATACCTGACAAGTCCAGCCCTCTGCTTGAACATATTGAGTGGCTGTTCATATAATCCATTCATTTATTCATTTATATATGGCATTTATTTATAGCATCTATTTACCACTCTGCATATCTGCACATCACCAATGTACAGCTCCAAGTGTACTACTTCAAAGTGCCACCACCCCCACCCCAAGATGAAAACAGAGAAAGATCAAGATGTAGACAAGTTGACCATCCTAACAGTATTCTCAAAGAACTAGGCCATGCTTTCATATGTATCCTCCAATATTTGGCCTTGGCACAATCTTGTGTATATGTCTTTTAGACACCTAAGCAGGTTGGCAACTTCCGTGGTGCTCTCTCTCTCTCTCTCTCTCTCTCTCTCTCTCTCTCTCTCTCTCTCTCTCTCTCTCTCTCTCTCTCTCCCCCCTCTGTCTTTATCTCCTCTCTTTAATATCCATCTTTCTGCCTCTCTCTCTGTCTTTTTTCTCTATCTCTCTTCTCTGTCTCTTCTTTCATCTCTCTTTTCCTTCCTCCCTCACCTTTCTCTCTGTGTCTTTCTTTGTCTCTGTCTCTCTGTCTGTCTCTCTTCATTGAAACTCTCCTTGGGTCCTTTGAATTTCATTCTTGAGAGATTCTTATCTCTCCTGAGCTACAAAAATTTAGTCCTTATCCCTTTCCTATCCTTTTTCCAAGTCCTGTGGTATCAGTTTGCCGATGCTACAAGATGCTTGTCAAATTCTTTCTTGCTTTCCTTCATTCTCCATCAAAAATTCTAAGATGTAGTGGTCATTGCTCATTGAATGTCCTACTATTTCCACCCCAAAACAAATTTCCATTGGTGAGAATCAGATCCAAAGTAGGATTCCCTCTCATTGGTTCCTTCATCTTTTGAGGGATTAAATTCTTATTTAGGTAGGTCAAGGCATAATTAGCTCTCCAGGGGGTGAGTTTGGGAAGAGAAAGGAGAGACAGAGACAGACAGACAGAGAAACAGGCAGGCAGAGAAACAGAAAGATACATTCAGCACCAGAGACAAAGAAAGAGCTATGGAAATCAAAGAAGACCAAAAAAATGGAACACCCCACACGTGTATACCATTCTGGCACAGAGGCCATGTTCATTTTCTCTTTATGATTCCAGTTATAATATGTGCTCCCAAAACAAGAAGAAATACTGAGACTCAAATCTGATAGTCATCTACTCATCCCTGGTTCTAGGAGGGGACCAAGGGACAGCGCAGTGAAAATAGAACTCCTTTTATCTATCTTTCTAATTCTTGAAATCCTTCTCTTACTTTTATACCCACTTCTGTGACCTTTCCTTTCTCAAATTTTCTTGAAGCTCCTATCTGGATCTTTCCTTTGCTTCTAACCCAAAGTTATAAACTCCTTGAGGGCACAGTCTATGTTGGGTCTAGATTTTTATCTCTGTGTTCACCCTGGTACGTTGTATATGTAATCAACATTCCAGATAGCCGTAGTTTCATCAATGTACATGGACACTCCCTCCACTGATATAGGTTGTGACCTCTCTACCATGTTCTTTGTTTGCACCATGACCTCCAATCCCTTCACTGATCAGCTCTTTTCCAGGCCTTCACTCCACCCCCCCTCCCATGCCCCCATCAACTACACTCTCTTTCCTTCCCCACCTTGACCTCTTGTTGAAACAGATCAACTCTAACCTATGCATTTCTCTTAAGTCCTTTGCCCCTTTATCCTATCAGACATCTTGGCTTGCCAAATCTCAGTCTTAGATTACTACCATTATCCACTGCCCTTGTTCCTGCTTAATGCTATTGAATAAACCTGTAGAAAAATCACAAAATTGTCCTGATTGGGTTAAGTTTATGTAACATCATCACAGCTGAGCCCTCACTTTTTTTACACCTCCAATCTTTTTTACACCTCTATAATCTATTCACTCTGCCACTTATTCCAATAGCTTTTCAAAATCTTTTCATTTCCTCCTCAAATCTCCCATATTACCCCCATTCCCACCCTCTCAGCTAAAAGCCTTGGCTCATTTCATTAAAAAAAAAAATTGGGACCATTCACAGAGCTCCTTCTTCACCTCTGTACTTGTTTCACATCACTCAGGTGCCATATACCACTATCCACCCCTTTTACTCCTGTTTCACATGAAGAGTTGGCTTTTCTCCTTGCCAAGGCAAATCCTCCTGCATGCACAAATGGTCCCATTCCAACATATCTTCTCTGGCAGATTGTCTTCTCTATCATGCCTATTCTTTCCCTTATTGTCAATCTTTCCCTATCTACTGGTTGCTTCCCTATTACCTACAAATGTGCCCATGTCTCCCCTATCCTCAAAAAATTCTCGCATGAACCATTTATGCTTTCTAGTTATCATCCTGTATCTCTCCTCTCTTTTATGGCTAAATACCTTGAGAAGGGCTCTACTATAGGTGCCTCCACTTCCTTTCCTCTCACTCTTTCATTATGTCTTTGCAGTCTGGCTTGTAACCTCATCATGCAATTGAAACTTCTCTCTCCAAAGTTACTAATGACTTATTGTCAAATCTAATAACCTTTTTTCAATCCTCATCACTCTTGACCTCTCTGCAACTTTTGACACTATCATTAACCTCTTTTCCTTGTCATCTTCTTCTCTCTAGTTTTCCATGACACTACTCTTTCTTGATTCTTTTACTTGGTTCTCCTCTCTCTGACCACTCCTTCTCATTCTCATATCATACCCACTAAAAGCAATTGTCTACCAGGGCTCTGTCCCAGACCCTCTTCTCTTTTCCCTCTATCTATTTCACTTAGTGATATCATCAGCTCCCATGTTTTCAATTATTTTCTCTATTCAGATGACTTTCAGATAGCCTTCCCCAATCCAAACCTCTCTCCTAATTTTCAGTCTCATCTCTCCAACTGCCTATTAAACATCTTGAATGGGATGTCCTATAGACATCTTAAATTCAACACATCCAAAACTGAACTCATTGTCATCCTCCCTTCCCTAGCAAATCTGTTTCTCTTCCTCACTTTCCTATTACTGTCAAAGATACAGCTATACTCCCAGTCATTCAAACTCTCAACTTAGATGATATCCTCAGCTTCTCATTCCTTTGCACACTGCCATATTCAATCAATTATCAAGTTCTGTTGTTTCTAGCTTCATAACATCTCTCATATCAGTCATCTTCTCTTTTCTGACATGGCCATCACCTTGGTGCAGTCTTTTATCACCTCACACAAGGACTATTGCAATAGTCTACTCATTGGTCTCCCTGCCTCAAGTCTTTACCCATTTCACTCCATCCTCCACTTAGCTATTAAATTGATCTTTCTAAAGTGAAAATCTGATCATATAATCCTTATTCAGTAATTTACAGTGTCTCTCTATTGCCTTCAGGATCAAATATTAAATCTTTTGTTTGTTTTTTAAAGCCCTTCAAAAGTAATTCCCTTCCCATCTCTCCAATATCCATACACCATACCCTGCTCCACATTCTCTGTGATCTAGCAGTACTAACTTTCTTGCTCTTCCTTGTATAAGACACTCCATCTCCCAACTCCAAGCATTTTCACTGTTTATCTCCCATCCCTGAAATGTTCTTCTTCCTCATCTCTATCCTATCTTTCCTGGCTTTCTTTAAGTCTTAGCTAAAATACAAACTTCCTTAAGAAGCCTTTCTTAGTCCTTATTCTTAATGCCTTTCCTCTTAGACTACCCCCCAATTTATCCTGTACATATCTTGAATGTACACATTTGTGTGATATCTTCCCAATTAGACTGTGAGCTCCTTGAGAACAGGGACTGTTTTTTGTCTCTATTTGTATCTCCAGTGCTTGGTCCAGTTCCTGCCACATGAGAGTTGCTTACTGATCCTTATTGAATGATTGACTGAGTAGATGATGTTCGTGAGTTGCCACAGCTGCAAAAGCCATTCCCTTGGTTAACCTCCTAGTAATAATATTCTCATGACTTAGCAAGTTTGGGCCTGGTGACCTCTGGACCCATGACCGTGCCCATTGGTAAGACTTTCCTGAGTTTGCACTTCTTTGGCATAACCTTCAAGACCTATAGGTCACCTCCATGTCATGGTGAGGCATCATAGGAATGTAGGTTCTTTGATGGGTATCTGTAGGGGATCAGAGATTTATCTAGCATTGGAAAGGACCATCTAGTCCAAAACCTTCTACCTATGGATGAGGAAGCTAAAGGTCATAGAAGTTATTTGGCCAAGGCCACATAGATAATAAGTGGCATAGTCAGAGTTTGAACACTGGACCCCTCACTCCAAATCCAACAATCGACTCCACTCTATTGTATCAAATATCCTATCATGTCAAAGGAGAGCTTTGTGAATAGTAGGTACTTGATAATCATATCAAGAAAGTAAGAGGCATAACACATGGAGTATTCTCTAAGGAGGGGAGGATGGTGATGAAGTGGTGTGGGTGGGTTAGTCCTAGAAGGGTCAGGTTCATCAGGACCAGACCAGAACTCCTTCTGAGCTTAACTTTCTAGCAATCATTCTGGGGATTATTTTGGTAAGAAAAGTTCTGGATTGTTCATGGTGATCTGCCTCTGACTCACTTCTATTGAAAAAAGGCAGAATTGGTTTTTTTCCCAGCATTAATATGAAAACTAGTGTGGAAAGTAGGATGCATCAAATGTATTCCTTCAGCTGAAAGTCATCGCTAATTAAATGGTGTGTGGGAGTAATTTAGGTCTCTGTCAACTGTAGGTCATGCCAATATTTGAATCCCCTGGGGCTGGAAAGCAGCTGGAACAGTTATGGGAAAAAATAATTACCATTTTACCTTTTTCTGGCAATCTTGATTGACTTTCACCAAGGTAATGGAGCTAATTCCATCAATTCCATGATCTGACAAGAGCCAAGTGATGAACCGGTTAGTTCACCTTATACTTTGGGGGGAATCCAAAGTAACAACAACTGAAAGAAAAAGGTCAAAATATAGAATTATCTGGTAATATATAATAAGATGTTCACCATCAATGGTTTATGGACTTTCATTTTCTTAGTGAATCTTCACAAGAACCTTGGGAGGGAAAAAGTGGTTCAAATCCCAATTTTAGCTCTGTAATACCCACTTAACTTTGACCAAGTAACATAACCTCTGGGACCCATTTCTCTTGTGTATAAAATGTGGAAGGTTGGACTAAATGACTTGAAGGACCCCAAGTCCTTTCTTTTCATCTGCCCTGTTAGCTGAACCATATTCTACATGTTGTCTCCATAATTAGAATATGAGCTCCTTGAGATGAAAGGCTGTCTTGTTTTTCTATTTGTATTGTCTGAGCTTTGATCAGCACTTGGCATCTAATAAGCACTTAATGAATGCTTGTCCATTCCATTCCATGACCTTTCTTGGGTCCTTTCTGGCTGTAGATCTATGACCTTTCATCCTAGGAGCATACGTACCGTATCCATTTTATAGATGAATGAATGGAAATTCATGAAGTTGAATTGGTTTGCCTGAAGTCACATAGGTTGAACAAGGGTTTAAAAAGCAATCTTTTTACTTTCACAAATAGTGCTTTTGAGGTAGACTCTGTGCTCCTTAAGCCAAAGCACTGTTGTGCCTTTGAAGTGATATCAAGGTAAGATAAGTGAGAGGTCCTTGAAAACTCCAGGTTGAGTCCTGCTACAGTCCTGGTCTTGGGGAAGTCTTCTGACTCTTCAGGAAGTCATAACTAACTAAGGATTTGTCTGTATGTTAAAGAAAAAAGTCAACACAAATCAATTTTTAAAGCAAATTATATTTATGTATCCAAAAATTTGTCAGAAGTCATATACCTGCCATAGCATTTTATGTTCCAAATGGAAGCTAAGGCCAAAGGAAAGAGGAATTTATAGTGGTTTCTTTTAGTGATAGAAAGGACTTTTGAGATGATGGAATCTAACTCCCTCATTTTAATGATGGGGAAACTGAGATTCAGAAAGGTTAAGTGATATACCAGGCCACATAGGAGTAAATGGAGGCAGAATTTCATACCTTTTTTTTTTTTAACTCCAATTCTCCTTTCCTTCTCTGCACTATGCTATACTTTATGGCCTCTCTATGACCTCTCTTCATTCAGGTATGCTCTTTCCTTTGTCATTCAGAAATATCTCTTCCTTGTTTTTCTGCCCCCCCCCCATTACTTTTAGCAGGGAACAAGCACAAATTAG